GTGGATTCTGAAATCATATTAACTTTTTGTGGTCTGTTGCTTTAAAATACATTGATCTAGTTTGCACTTTCAATGGATGTTATACCCATGCATGATTTTGAAACATTATGCATTGATCATTTGGAAAATATTAATTCATTGAGTTATGCATATCTTCCAAATCTTGACACATTTCATTATTCAATATCGAAATACATATTTTCATATCAGCCCCAAACCAATCATAAAAACCTTTAAGTACTGAGAAACTGTCAAGCGCATGGTGGCAGATGCAAGTTTTCCAAAATCCTAATTTTCACTTGAAAACTTGGATTTTTATCATTTGCAATAATTCTGTCAGCTCTTTTCTTTGATGATACAGGCTCACTTGGTTCATTTTCAAGAAAATGTCTGCCAAATGCCCAACTCAAAATAATCATAGTCTGTGAATTTTGCTTTCAAGGAAAAATGGTGTTCCGTGAAAAAAGTGGCTTTAGCTCAAAAACAGTCACACAAGTGCTTTTTCTTGGGACAACCAACCCTGCAATATACAGAAGAAGTGCATTTGGTGTACTTCCCATTTTGTCACACAATTATTAAAGACATGTACTCAAAGGTTGAGATGTGATTAAATGAATAACTTTTTTATTTCTTCAACTAAGGCATTTCTAAGTATAATTGCCGTGTGTGTGTGTCAGTGAAGAATAAAAAAGAAACATGAAAGATTACCTAGTATACACAGTTCCCGGGTTATGAATGTCCAACTTACAGACAACTCATACTTGCCCTTTAATATTATGTAAATTTTCCCTCACTTTGAAACGATTGAACCAACCCCTGCTTGCAACACATTCTTCATCACAATCATCTTCACTTGCTGCATGTGCAGCTTTTAAATCATTAAAAAAGGCTTCAGGCCTTTTCTTGCATCATGTAAGGCTAAATAAGAACCGTATGCACCTGTTCTGACTTACCTACCAATTCAACTTAAAGACACAGGAACGGCTCTCATTCGTAACCTGGGACTGCCCATATAGTGTTTCCCAAAAAGTTTTTCTTAGCACATTGGTCCAATATGGTTGCTACTAGCCACATGTAGCTATGGAGTGCTTGAAATCTGGCTAGTCTGAATTGACATGTGCTGTGAATGTAAAATATATACTGGATTTCAAAGATTTAGTACCCGTTCCTCCCAAAAGTAAAATACTTCAATAGTTTTTTTAACATTGATTTTATGTTGAAATGTTAACATTTTTCACATAGTAAGTTAAATAAAATATATTGTTAAAATTAATTTTACCTGTTTCTTTTTCTTTTTTAAATGTGGCTACTGGAAAATTTTAAAATTACTTATGTAGCTTACAATATATTTCTATTGGGCAGCACTTTTCAAAAGAAGTTTCATGGCCATGTTTATTTGGGAAAAGTTGGATAGACTATTTTCCCTTGAAGGTTTATTGGCATATTAGAAGTTCTGAGGAGTCCTGCAAAAGGAAAAAAAAGTCTTAAAATTTTGGTTAATGTAACATTTCCCAAAACTGCTATATTCTTGGACCATCTATTAACGTTCTATAGAGCTAGCTATGGAACTATGGAACTTATTGATCCAGTTTAGGGATACTTAGTTGTAGTTCAATTTTCTTCATTTTACTAATTAGAAAACTGACGGCTAGAGTTAGAAAATTCTATAATTTTGAAATTATGTGAACATTTCCTTAGGGAAAGTTCAAGGAAAAAAAATATGTAGTTTTTTTGCAGGGTGACCAATTATTTGGCATAATATAATTTAAGTCAGTAATATAGTGTCAGGCAAGAATTATCTTAGGTGAAGGGAAGAACAACTCATACTACAGGGGAAGTCAGCATAACTGGGCTAAACCAAAAGCTAAGAAGTTTCCTGAATACAACTAAACACTTTGAGGGACAGAGTAGCAGGGGCGCGTGGTTTCAGGGGACCATGGTTTCAGGGGACATCTAGGTCAATTGGCATAACAAAGTTTATTAAGAAAATGTTCTGCATCCCACTTTGGTGAGTGGCATCTGGGCTCTTAATAGCTAGCGAGCGGCCATCTAAGATGCATCAATTAGTCCCAACCCACCTGGAGTAAAGGAGAATGAAGAACACCAAAGACACAAAGAAAATATTAGCCCAAGAGACAGAATGGGCCACATAAACCAGAGACTGCATTAGCCTGAGACCAGAAGAACTAGATGGTGCCAGGCTACCACCAATGACCACCCTGACAGGGAACACAACAGAGAGTCCCTGACACAGTAGAAAAGTAGAGTGCAGAACTCAAATTCACATAAAAAGACCAGACTTAATGGTCTGACTGAGACTGGAGGGACCCTGGAAGACATGGCCCCCCGACTCTGTTGACCCAGAGCTGAAACCATTCCCAAGGCCAACTCTTTAGACAAAGATTAGAGTGTACTATGGGACATAAAGTTATACTCATGAGGAGTGTGCTTCTTAGCTCAAGTAGATACGTGAGTCTAAATGGGCAGCTCCTGTGCGGAGGCAAGATGAAAATGCAGAGAGGGTCAGGAGCTGGTTGAATGGACACAGGAAATCTGGGGTGTAAAGGAGGAATGTGCTGTCACAGTATAGGGAGAGCAGCTAGGGTCACATAACAATGTGTGTATAAATTTTTGTATGAAATACTGACTTGAATTGTAACCTTTCACTTAAAGCACAATTTAAAAAAAAGAAAAAAATATATAGTGTCAGGGAAAATCTTAAATTTACTTTTCTTTATTTTGCATTGCTTAAAGATAGAAAGAACTTCTGGGTTTAGAGCTGTAAAGTTCCTTAACTTTTTATTGTTTCATAACCTAGGACAATGATTCTTAACCTTTTTTTTTGATTATGGATTGGCTGAGACTCTGAAAAGAAAACAACATCTACAGAATCTCTCCTCAGGAAATGCATATGTGCACAAAAGTTGTATAGGATTTCAGGAGGCCATAGACCTTCTAAACCTATCTGTGGACTGCAGATTAAGAATTCCTCACATCTGGTTCAGGGATAATAAATTCACGCATCATAATCAATATTACTTTCTCTCTTGAGCCAAATGTAAAACTCTTTGAGTTGTAGTACAAAAGCTCATCAGTCAAGATATACACCCACTTATCACTTACCGACATGGTTAGGCTTCAAAGACCAGGTTATTATGGAAAAATCAACATTATGTGAAAATGGAGGACGATCACATCAGATCACAAAATGGAGGGTGACTACATCATTACATAACTGCCAAATTACACCATTATATATATAACTGCCAAACCACGAAGAATCATGGCACAGCCAAGTTGACACATAACCTTAACCATCACAGCCAATGTTATTTTTGCCTCACATTTCGACGTTTGTTACTGCCAGATGTACATTGTTAATGTGCAAAATAGCCAGACAGTAGATTTTTTATTATTGTTGTAAATGCGAAATGTTGGATAACAAAATAGTTGATAAATGAGGAGTGGGTATACTGTGTATATTGCATAATTCTGCACTCCAAAGAATCCCATAAGTCTAACACAGGGTCACTACTCATAATAAATTTAAGATCTCTTAAGACAAAGCATGTAAAAAACTTTAAATAACTGGTAAGCAAGACTAATTTTACCTCACCTTAGAAATATTTATAGAAAAATTCTGTTAAAACTTAGAGTAACTGAAACACCTAGTGTACTTGAAAGGTTAGTTCTCTAATAAGGTTTTTCTAATGGTTAGAAACATACATGCTATGTATGAACAATGTTCAGGATATGCGTAGGGAAGTGGACATTATAGCTTCAAAATGTGTCTTGCCTTGATCAGTGATTGTTCTATCTGCTCGCCCTAGCAGGGTCATCCATGCAGTAAAAGGCAGAATCTCCTATCCTGCCTTTTTAATGAAAATGCCAGAAGATTTTTTTTTTCCCCAAGAATATAGACTGATGCTTTGTTTACCAAGACAGTTCTGTATTTCAGTGTAGGTCCAATTACATGTGTGGTCTCGTAGATATAAAAGAATATAGATGAACTGAAAGACTGGAATAAGGATTGTTAACTAAAACGTTTGATCCAAATCTGATCCTTATTTTTCTGCCCGTGCCCTGAAGAGTCAAGCTGCTTTACCTATCTTCCAGGGATGGCTTATATCCACTCATAGGGCCTACAGCATATCAGAATTATACTAGGACATTGGAATGCTTGACATCTAAGGCCCTTTACATGTTAACTAAAACCTGCCTTTCCAGAGTTAATCCCCTCTTCTCCCCTACATATTCTATTTCTACTAGCCACTCTGAACTTGCTACATACCATATCCAGGGCTTTTCTTCCTTCTGCCTGAAATTTCCCCTGACTTCCATCTTAATCCACCTTTCAAAAATCCTACCCATTTATTAAAGCTCAAATGTCACCTCTTCCATGAAGCCTTACGTGATTTCTCCCTCCAGATGAGAATACTCCCTATGGGAAGTTACAGAGCGTTTATTCATATCTTCCTTATGACACTTAGCACAGACTGCCTTGCATGAGGATTAGTTTTCTGTGTTTTCTCTCATTGAAGGTCAGGTCCACATCTTCCTCATTGCTGTGTCCTCACAGCACTTGGAAACATTTGAACTTTGTAGGCCTTCAGTAAACGTTTGTTGAATAAATATAAAGCCCCAGAGATAATAGGGAATGCTTAGTATTAACAGTGAACGTATATTTACATATAGGATTTGGTAGAGAGTATCCTCCAATGGGAAAATCTCATTTTGGAACTAGGACAAAGTAGGGGGTTGAAGGAAGGTTGGATGCTGTGTCTCCCTTGCAGATCTGGTCATTCGTTGTCTGAGAATTCTTCCTGCCCCATCTAACTACCACTACTACTTCACAAATGTCTTAGTTTTCGTTTTACCCTATACATTGCATAATGCTATTGGCAATTGCAAATGAAGTGGAAATTCAGATGAGTTAATATCTGGGTGTGATAATATAAAATAACCAGTTTCCTAAGGAGTGATCTTTTTCCCCCTTACAGGCATGTAATGAATTCACTACACATGTGATGAACCTTCTCCGAGAGCAGAGCAGAACGCGTCCAATTTCCCCAAAAGAGATTGAAAGAATGGTGGGCATCATCCATCGAAAATTTAGTTCCATTCAGATGCAGCTCAAACAAAGTACTTGTGAAGCAGTTATGATTTTAAGATCAAGGTTCCTTGATGCCAGGTATGTGAGGCCACAAATGTATTGCATTTTTTTCCCCTTTCATTCTTTGTATATCGTTTTCTGTAAAAATGGCCGGTTGGTTTTAGATTCTTCTTTAATTTGGCTGTAAGAACTCTTCTCTAAGGAGGTCAGGTCATTCACCTCATAGTGCCTGCTCTGTTAAGCCTCTTGACAGAGTGGCTGTGCTGTTAGCTGCCAATTTGGTGACTCAGGAATGGATAGAATCAGTGTTGCTGCAAATGACAGGAAAATGTAGCCTTTCATTTCTGATGCTAGAAAGTATTTTTAAGGCTAATTTTCTGCATGTAACTCTATTTTAACAAAGGTTTGTTATATAAGAAATTTTTAATGTTACATTGCTTGTACAAATTATAATACTTGGATGTATTGATACTCCAATGAAGGAGGTACACTAACCACAAAACCCCAAATGCTGTATGTCCAAATCAAGTAAGAAAGCCTATTAATTTCTATAGTGAGGATGAAAATTTCCCTTTTTTCTGAAGCTTTCACCAAGTTTCACAGGAGTTAGGTAATAAATTGTGTATGGTGTGTTTAAGATCTGTTGTCATTGTTAGGTGCCATCAAGTTGGTTCCGACTCATAACGACCCTGTAGGACAGAGTAGAGCTGCTGCATAGGGTTTCCAAGGAGCAGCTGGTGGATTTGAACTGCCAGTCTTTTGGTTAGCAGCCGAACTCTTAACCACTACACCAACAGGGCTCCATTTAAGACCTACTGGGTGATGTAACAGAAGAATTGTCACATTCCTACTGTAAATATTTCAGTATATATTTTTTCTGTTTTCTTTTTGGGGACTTTTTAAAATTTTCATAAGTTCTTATGATGGTTCAATGTGTATAACTTGGTCTCCTGCTTTTTAAAAAAAATTACTCTAAGTAATTAAACACATTTTTCGTGTAGTATAAGTTCTAATTTTAAATACCATTTTAATGGTTGGATTCTACCTGATGGGCATATAATTAATAATTTACTTAGCCAGTCCCCTATTTTTGAGCATTCAAGTTGTTGACATTAATTTCTAATGTAACTCCTTCCTTCCTTTCTTCCTTCCACAAGTATTTATTTGTGCTGAAGATTTAGTGTTGAACAAGACAAGTAAAAAGACTTATTTGCCCTAATTGAGCTTACATTCTATTAATTTAAGAAATAGAATTATTAGATCAGAGAGTTTGAACATTTTTGGTGCTCTTATTATATATCACTAAATTATTCTTTCCTGTGTTTCGACCGAAATGAAATACCTCCTGGTCTGGTCTTAACATGTGCTGTCTGCTTTCCCTGGAATTCTCTCTTTCCTTTGTCTGACCACCTACCCTCCCTTCCTCCTACAACAAACTATATTATTCCAGTTCCTTTCCTAAGTTGGTTACCAATAACGAATTGTCATCACAGAAAGCGTTGAGCATGGAGCTTGGAACATAGCCAAACAAAAAACCAAACCCTTTGCTGTTGAGTCGAGTATGACTCACAGCAACCCTGTAGGACAGCTTAGAACTGGCCCCATAAAGTTTCCAAGGAGCAGCTGGTGGATTCGAACTGTTGACCTTTTGGTTAGCAGCCAAACACTTAACCACTGTACCACCAGGGCTCCCGGAACATAGCCCGTGTTCAGTAAATGTTTATTGGATCTAGTGAGATCCTACTCATCCTTCCAAGTCCAGCCTAAATGCTCCCACTTTAAGAAGCCCATCTTCATCATCCCACTGCACCGGCCCTTGCCTTCCCTTGAAAACTGATATTATGTTTATACAATTCTCAAGACTAAATTTCATGCAGACTACCTTTTATTGTAATTTTTCATGAACATTTCTTCTCTCCCTTGGCAAAACAACAGAGTTGTTGAAAGCAATGGCGAAGTCTTACATGACATTCCCCACAACTTCAGCAAATGCCTTACAAGTCATAGGCTGCAAGAAATCACTTATTGACTGACCAGATGAATGCATATTTCCACTTAATACTTTAAAGAATTAAAAGTTTTTAAAAGAGTTAGGGAGGTAGCTTCAGAAAGTTAACAAGCTAAAAATATTTTTAAATTGTCAAATTTGAACATTTTAATAAAAATATGATACAATAAGAATATTAAAAAGTTTTTCTGATAGAAAGGAATCCTTCCTAACACAATTGCTATCCTTATTTCTGCTGATACTTTCCCATTCTTGTCAACATGCATGCTTATTTTTTACATAGTTGAATTCATAATATATACATCTAAATGATTTATTTTTCTTCCACAAAGAGAAAGTATGTTAACAAGCCAGAATGAGCAGAGCCAGAATGAGAAGGTGGCAGAGCTTGGAGCAGAGTCTCTTCTCCCACAGAGACTGCTGTTTAGTAACATTGTGATGCTGATGGGACACAGCCCTGGGACTGATACGCCACTACACACTGGCCTGAGGCATGGCCATTAGAGTGTGGTGAACCATGGGGGGAATGAAACTTGGGGGGAAATGTTTAATGGGCATTTTCTACAGGATGCTTTTCTAAAAAATAAAGTATAAGTCTTATGCCTTCAAGTGAATGCAAATGCTGAGCTTTGGTACCATCTATTCTTGTCATGTCTTTTAGCAAGCCCTGTGCAATGAGAAGGCAAGGTTGTTCTGCTCTAGGCCAAAATGGTCACTCAGATATATGATTCCCTTGCTCACTGTGGCTTTCTACAAGGCTTACATTTGCTTGATAATTGGACAAGCTGAAGCACCAGCACAAAACATTTAAGAACAAATTTGTGTAGGCCCCTCTGTGTTCTTCTAGTAGAAGTAGTGTAGTTTGGGCACAGCCAGAATGTCTGGAGTGAGGTGTTCTGTTCTGCCTATAAATTTGTTCTCTTAGGTTTTTGATGTTTGCTGAACACCACTTAGAGGCAAAATTAATAAGCGAGCCAAACTCATCTTTGTTTTCCTAAACTCATCTTTGTTTTCCTTGATACAGTTCTACTCATTCTTCCCTTCATAAGTCCCCGTTTTCCAAAGATAACTTTTCCCCTTGTGTCATCTACTCTGATCTCTTCTGAGCTTTGCTGTTGGACTCTATGTTTTAAACTGGGAGTCACAAACTCACATGCTTACCTATAATGGAATTGAGTGGAGTGGCTGGATGGGAAATGAAGTAGGGGTTAGAGTAAACAGGTACATATTTAACGGACAGGTACCACTCAGCTTCAGTCTACAGCTGCCTTGCAGGGATGTGGGCCTCATGTGACTGATCTTCTATCTTTCATAAGAAGTCAGAAACCCAGATTTTTTTGAGCAGGTTATTGCTGTGTAGTTCCACAAATAATATCTGTGAGCAAGGTAATGTCTCTAGGTTTAGCAGTTTCAGTATCTATTCTAGACTTTTCCCACTCTGCTCATCCACCAACCTACCCATCTACTCATCAGAATGTGCCTTTTTAAAGTGTCCTCAACTCAGGGCCTTACTTTTCTTTTCATGAAATGCATGGCTCCTATGAAAATACTAATTGCTGTTATTGGTGTATTTCTCTTCCTTCCCTTCCTTCCCTCTCTTCCTCTACCACCTATCCCCGTCCAATCATTATCAAATCCTGTTGATTTTAATCCTCAAATAGACCTTGAATCTCTTCTTCATCCCTTAGGAAACAATGGTTTAACTCCTCAAAAATAATTGAAATTAAGAAATTTCAGGACTCATAACCCAAGGAGATGTTTTAATCAGATTTAGATTTCTTGCTCCCTTGATTCTCCCTTAATGTTGAGACATAGATCACATACTTAACCTGCTATGTTAGTCACGTCATTTTAGCTGGAAGAATCTCCTACAGTACATATATTTACAATTGCCTGTTGACTCTGTCTTTTGTGAGTGCAGAATATCACACTAGAGAAGATTTATTAAGATTACTTATAAAGAAGTATTAAGAAAATTGTTTGGAAAAAAAGTATTCTCCAGTTACTGAAGTATGTAATCAAAAGTGAAGTCTGAAAAATGCTAATTTTCAGGCTAGAATTCCTTAAAATCTTAATAACAAACCCAAATATAAATGACCTTTTTGCCATTTTGAAATATATTGTTAATAAATACTTGATCTTCTGATACTGTATCACCCCTTTCCCAGCAAAACCAAAAAATTGTTCTTCCCCTACTCTTTCCCTTGTGAGTAAATCACACCTCAGTCCAGGAAGTTGCTTAAGCATAAAAACCCAGAAGTCCTTCCTGATGTAGTTTTACCTTTTTCCTCCTTCTCTCTCTTCCCTGCCTCCCTTCCATCCAATCTGTCATCAAGTCCTATCACTTTTACCTTGTTATCATATTGGACCTCAATTGGACCACTGCAATTGTCTCGTTAGCTGCTCACTTCATTTCCTTTCATGCTATATTCCAACTGTTCTCTACATAGCAGTCAGAATGATCTCTTTAAAACTTAAAACCTTTAATAGGTTCCTATTGTACTTAAAATAAAATCCCAAAACTCTTATGGGGTCTACTAAGCCTGAATAATCTGGCCCCTGCCTATCCTTCCAGGCTTATCTCACACATTCTCTCATTTTTATTGTGTGCCAGCCTCCTCTAGCCCCCTTAGACTTGCCAAATTCTTTTCTGTTTCAGGACTGTTTCCTCTGCCTGTTCCTTTTCCCTTCTACCATTTGTTTGACTAACTCCTGCACATTCTCCAAGTCTATTAAGTGTCACTCCTTCAAGGAAACCTTTCATGACTCCATAATTTGTGTGAGGTTTGCCTCTTACAAACTTTCATTTTACCTCATTCATTTCCTTCATGGTACTTAAAAGTGACTGTAGTTTATACAGTCATGTGTCACTTAACGTTCACGATATGTTCTGTGAAAAAGGATATTGTACGATTTGTATGTTATGTGAACACCATATTATATACCATATAGAGTTCACCTTGAGGCTGGCTGGTGGAAGTGATCTTTGGTATGGGCAGAGAGCTCATCCCGCCCATCAAGTGTGTGTCACAAACCATTCTCTGCGTGAGTTGGTTGGACCCCAAGGGCAAGGCCAAGATCTTGATATTTGGGTTGCCTTATTATCAGAAGGGGACACCTGGTGCTGCAGTGGTTAAGAGCTCGGCTGCTAACCCAAAGGTTGGCAGTTCAAATCCACCAGCCGTTCCTTGGAAGCTCTGTGGGGAAGTTCTACTCTGTCCTATACAGTCACTATGAGTTGGAATCGACTCGAAAGCAACGGATTTATTACCAGAAGGAAGTAGCCAAGGTCATCATAAACTTGGCTGATTAACACTGCCAGCACCACCGGCTCAAAGTTCAGAGAAGGGCCCTGCCCCAGAGGCTGGCACCCAGCAGACTCCTGATGCTGCCCCGGAGACTGACGCTCAGCAGGCTCCAGATGCTGCCCAGGTCTGGTTTACCAAAGTTTGAAAGTAATTTGTGTCCCGGGGCAGGAGCCATGCAGAGGTTAAAGTGGAAGCCCTGTCTTGAGCCCTGTTCTTGTAAGTCGTGTTTCTGCCCCCTGGGTTAAGAGTGATGGGGTGGGATTTTATTCTTTTCCTGTGTTAAATGTTTGCAAACACGAATTAAAAAAAAAAAAAAAAAAGACCACGGACGTATATGTGGTCAGATGTTGTCCAAATGGACGTTATGTGGCACATGACTATAATTATTTATTTCTGTGATACTTGTTTAATGTCTTTCTTTCCCCCAACTCTCTACTCTCTCCCTTAGCCCTCTACTCCCCTGTAAGCTCTCTGGTAGCAGTGATTTTGTATGTTTTGTTCTCACTGGATCTTCATTGAGTGCCTAGAACACAGTACTGTTGCCATTGAGTCCATTCCAACTCATAGCTACCCTATAGGACAGAGTAGCACTGCTCCATAGGGTTTCCAAGGAGCAACTCGTGGATTTGAACTGCTGACCTTTTGGTTAGCACCCGTAGCGCGCTGTAGCTCTTAACCACTGTACCACCAGGGCCCCTAGAACACAGTAGGTCCTCAATAAATATTTGTTGAATAAGTTAAAGAATGAGATAAATGGTGCTTCACATTCCAGTATTTTTCTTAGTGATCCTACATCTTAAAATAAGTTGGATAGTGCTTTGGAAGACATGAAGAACATAATTTACAATATCATAGTGATAAATTAATCCCTTAGGAATGTCTAAAAATAAAACTCTGCTTTTTTCTGTGATCCTAATTAATCTATCCCTCTTTGCTTAATGCTGATGTAACTGTGAATCGTTTCTCTGCTCTTGTCATAGACGGAAAAGGCGTAACTTCAGCAAACAGGCCACAGAAATTTTGAATGAATATTTTTACTCACACCTCAGCAACCCCTACCCCAGTGAAGAAGCCAAAGAGGAGCTGGCCAAGAAATGCAGCATCACAGTGTCACAGGTGAGAGAGGACCTCATGGGTCTGTCTTGTCCCCTACCAGTACAGCAGCCCTCTTCCTTCTTCAGGGCTTTCTCATCATTTCATATCCATGTTCCAGCATCAAAGAAGATGTAAAGAAAATCTAGATATTTCTACATTTTTCTGAAAGATTTTAGTGCTCAATTTTTTTTTGCCAATCTTAAGCAGCAAGGAATCGCAATAATCACACACTTCTCCCCCGTGTACTATAGAGTGGACGTAAACATGCCATGAGGAGAGACACGTTTTATACTTAAGTGACTCTCCAGTAAATAGCACGTAGTCCTGGTTTCCCTGATTTAGATGACTGACCTAAGCTTCTACCAGTGAGAAACCAATTTATTTGTTGCCAAAAGGAAATTTAATGTAACTCTTTGGTGAAAGCTTTGAGGATTTTGCCAAGCCTCTTCTCGGTAAACATACTGTAATGTTTGGGTCTCAAGGATTTCTTTGCTTCCTTTTTATCTGTTAAGCAGAAGAATTAAGTTCATACCAGTCCCTGGTTTTTTTAATGTCCACTTGTAATAAATTATGTCCCTAAAGTTAGCTGTCATCTTCTACAAAAAATACATTTACTTTTCAGCAAATAGACTGGTATCTGGATTGAGGATTAAGAATAAAACCAAACCTATTGCCACTGAGTCAATTCCGACTCATAGCGACCCTATAGGACAGAGTAGAACTGCCCCATAGGGTTTCCAAGGAGTGGCTTGCTGCTGGATTTGAACTGCTGACAATTAAATACACATATAGCTGTTTATTGATTGTCATTTGAACAGCATTTCTTTATAGCATGCAAAACTGGTAGTTTCCCAGCCAGTTCTTACAGTGGAACTTAAGGAACAGCTGATTGCGGACAGAAATTTCAGTGTTCCCTGGGGCTTACATGCCACAAAATTTTAAAAGTAGTTGCTAAATAAATACTTTTGCTGTAAACCTGAAGTCCAAAATACTACAGAGCTCTTTCAGATTCCAGTGAGGGTTTCATATCCATATTTTAAGTCGTTATTTAAGGGACCAGCGTGTAAGTTTAAGATCATTTCTAGGTCCTACTTAAGCATTATTTTCCACAGAACGTCTAGAGCAACCTTAGATCTATAATTAAGATTTCATTTAAGGTTTGTTGTCATTCTCCTGTGAAATGGTGGTATATCTTGATTCCTTTTGCTTGGTTTGAAATGGAATATAATTGATTTTGGTTTTTAGCTCATAAAGACATTTTATATAAAATATTACTAGATGGGTTATGTAGTCCTTACTGCCACGAGAAATACTAAGAAACAGTATAATACCCTGGGTCAGACAGGAAAGATGAAATTAAAAGTATATTCGCTTCAAGAGGGTGTTTTCTAATGTGTAGATTTTTCCTGAATATTAGTGAAAGTATTAGGCTCATGTTGAACACTGATGATACCAAGTCTAATTTCCCAGCTCTAACAACAGCTCTCTGACTTAGAATTCAAAAGTTTGTAGATCTAACTTAAATTGAGGGGTTTCCCTGCTTCTGTTTTTTTTTGTTTTTTGTTTTTTGTTTTTTTAACTTCTATAATATACGCAAGGAGTCCATCCTGTTGGTGCAATGGTTAAGCGCTCAGATGCTAAACAGGTTAGCAGTTTGAACCCACCAGAGGCTCCACAAGAGAGCAGACCTGGCGATCTGTTCCTGTAAAGATTTTCCACTCTGTCCAATAGGGTTGCTATGAGTTGGATTAGACCCAACAGCACACAGCATAATGTATGCACCATTGGAGCATAACACAAACTGTATGTATTTTTAAAAAAAATATATGGTCCGGGTTTTTTATTAGTTGAAGTACCTAGCACTTTGTGTGTAGCCTAGGACCCGCTTAACACATGCTTATGGAATAAGTGAGAGAAAGATTTTCTTCTGGCTGTCCTGAATTAGGGAAGCTTTACCCTACTTATTTTTTTTTTTCTTGGCCGTAATCTTTTTTTTTTTTTTTAAATAATATACACACAAAGCATACAGTATTTCATCAGTTTCTACATGTGCACTTGAGTGACATTGATTCCATTCTTCAAGTTGTACATCCATTTTTGCTCTCTTTTTCCAAGCTATCCCACCACCCTTAACTTACCTACAGTGTACCCCAAGCAAAAAATTTCTCTTTCCCCTTCCCTTCTGCTTCTGGTAGCCACTAATTACCTTTAAGTTAGCAGCCATAGCTCTTAACCACTGCACCACCAGGGCTTCTCTGGTTTCTATATAATTGCTTATTTCATATAAATGATACCATACAGTCTTTATCTTTTTATGTGCCTAACTTATTTCACTCAGCATGGTGTCTTCAAGGTTCATCCATGTTGTGGCATGCATCGGGCCTTCATTTCTCTTGATGGCTGAATAATATTCCATTTTATGTACATACAACGTTTTGTTTATCCATTCATCAGATGATGGACATTTTGGTTGTTTCTACTTTTTGGCTATTGTGAATAGTGCTTCAGTGAACATTGGTGTACATATGTCTGTTTGCATCACTGCTTTCAAGTCTTCCGGGTGTATACCTAGGAGTGAAATTGCTGAGTCATGTGATAGTTCTATGTTCAACTTTTCACAATACTTTTAAAATAGGCTAGGAACCCGTTTACTTTATTGTTATCTTTAGTTGCTGTTGAGTCAATGACTCATGGTGATCACATGTGTGCAGGGTAGAACTGCTCTATAGGGTTTTCAAGGCTGTGACCTTTCAGAAGCAGATCGCCAGGCCTGTCCTCCAAGGCGCCTCTGTATGGATTTGAACTGCCAATCTTTTGGCTAGTAGTCGAGCACTTAACCGTTTGCACCATCCAGGGACTTCTAGTATCCATTTACCTAGATATTTAAAAAATATTTAATTATTCATTTTACTTGTTTTATATCAAAAATAACTTTGTTAGATTTTGAAACTTTTTAGTAATTGCTTGAGGTTTAAAAATAATATAGGCATAGATAGATTACTCTGGCAAAAAAGCAAACTTTCTGACCTGTTTTTTCTCCCAGGTCAGCCTTTCTAACATAAAGTAGGAGATGAAGTCAAAAAGGCTGTTGGGTCTAAATAGGGTAGGGGCCTTATAGGCCATGGTAATGACTTGGGCTTTTACTCTGAGTGAGATGAGAAACCATTGGAGATTTTTCAGCTGAGGAATGACATGATCTGACTAAAGTTTTAACAGGATTACTGTGGCTGCTGATTTGACAAGAGACTGTGTGAGGCAAGGAGAAGCAGAGACATCAGTTAGGTTACAGTTGCAGTAACCAGGCAGAAGGTGATGGTGGCTTGAACCAGGATGTTAGTGTAAAGGTGATGAGATGTGGCTGGATTCTGGATATACTTTAAAGATAGAGCTGAGAAGGTTTATTGATAGGCTGAATATAGGATATGAGAGAAAGAGAGTCAAGGATGACTCCAACATTTTTGGCCTAAGCAGTGGAAGGATGGAGTTGTCATTAAGTATGATGGGGAAGACTTTGGGAGGAGCAGATTTTAGGGCGAAGATCAGGAGTTTGGTTTTGGACATATTAAATTAATATGTACTATAGTTTGTTCAAGTTAGCTATACATTTTAGCTATGAATAGGCATGGGTAAATGAAAAATGTATGATCTATACTAGGCCTACATTATTTGTGATAAAATGTTATAAATATAAGTGTCTTTAACATAGAATTGCAGGCTGAGCCTAGAATTTGAAAACATGTTAACATAATCTCCAATTTCTTATGGCTTGGTTTGACTGAATAAGCTGGAGTTTCCCTTCTACATAATACCCTAAAAATTCACAAAAGAAGAAATTGTTTCAAATGTCATACCACTATGAATCATACTTGAATTGTCACACATTCTTAATTAGCGAAGCAGATATTAATATGCTTTTACTTTTTGGAATAGAGCAAGTTAACTCTATTGATTATTCATGTTACCAGGTCACAAAAAACTCCATTGTTCTCCTGATTCCAAGTTTGAGTTTAAATAACTCTGACCCTACTTTCTTTGCTAGGTGTTTTTAGAATGAAAGTGTTAACTTATTCTTCGTTGCTACTGTAATTGAAATGTACTGTAAAGAAATGACAGAGTGTGTGTTTAACAGATGAGAACCTGAAATGGCAGAGATTAAATGACAGCATTAAGATTCATTCATTCATTGATTCAACTAACATTTTTTCATGCTTTTAAATCAGTGCACAAGACCAACTTTTATTTAAGATTTACAACAATCCAGTGTGGAAAACATTATTATCTAACCTTTACAGACGAGGAAAATGAGGTTTGGAGAAGTTAAATGATTGCCCCGTGTCACAAACCTCTATTGAGTAGGAGAATTGGAGGTTCTTACATAGAGATGTTTGATGAGAAGGAGAAACTGGGTTTTTACTTTTTTTCCTACAAGAGGCAATGTGGTTTATCCATCCCGGGGGCCCAGGCTGTAGAGTCCCGGTTTGTGAGGCATGGGCCTGGGCTTATATCACTAGAGCAACATCATTTTCCCCCTAAGCTATTAAAGAGACTCCAGGCTAGTTAGTAGTTTGAGATCTCGGTACTCATTAAGCCACTTATTCCAAAGCAGTGAAGGTTCAGTAAGCTAATTAAAATTTGTAAGTAAGGTTTCCTTATTTTAAAAAAATCTATTAAAATAAGAAGAAGCCCGTTAAAATAATAATTAGAGCGGAAAAAAAGATGACTATCAAATTATAATATCTTTTTTAGCTATCTGTAAAGGCCTTCTTGGTTACTTTGACAGTAGGCAGAAAGCAGAAGTGAATTTCTATTGTAAGTATGCGGTTGGTGAACTGGAGACAAGTTGAGGAAAGCGGCAGCTGTTTTGTTAAAGCCATTTTTTCACACTGTCTTAAAAGAAGGCTATGGACCCTCTGTTCTAGTAGAGAAGGGACATCATTAAACAGCGTGCAAAACAACAAAGGAACAGGTTGTAAAAAGATGGGAGCTTTGAGGATGCTATAACACCAAGTACAAATAAGTCG